TAGTATTCAATATATATAGGGATGGACTATCACGTATATCTTTTACATTTAACAAAATAGTTAGAGTAAACGGTGAAACATTTCAAAGTTAACACGTGTAAATAACGTTCAGGTTAAGTTTACTGCTGCCTCGTAAATATACTCCCTTACGTGGAATTTATGTCAATTGATTAAAAGAAACAGAAACAGTTCAACGTTGAATTAAATCGTATTATGTGTTAAACTCACATAAAGCACGAAAATCTAACAAGGTTGTTTTATAATTTTAAAATTATAAATTGCACGCTGATAAAAATATTCGAATCAGACAATTACTATTTTATAAAGTATTTTAGAATTAGGGGAAAGGAAAACTATTAGTATTAATTACTACAAATGAGAACAATGGATGTTATATAATCGGATCCGTAAAACAAATGTACTTAGCCTTTACACAATGATTACCATTCTTTGGAAAAAAAGCCTAACCAAAAAAATTTTCTATCAGCACCGTATTTACTATAAATAATTATATGTGTAGGATTCAAACCACTGTTTGGTGCTTAATGAACAGTTAAGCAATTAAAACTTTTTTCCAAAAATACTGAATTTCCTGTCAACTAATGTACACGGTCATATGTAAATTAAGCACAGTTACTTTTGAATTCCCTTTTAGAGGTATTAACCGAAAATTATTTTATTTTTCGGATGCTTATAAACATTAAAACCTTCAAAACAAGGTGAAACGTTTTATCATCGATCGGATTTAAATGTAGACCTATACAATCTTTAAAAATATACTTATCATACTATTCAATCAAATTATTTTGAAGAAACATGATAAATAAATCAATCTATATTTTATCCGAAAAGGATATACATGATTTTTATTCTAGAATTAGAACAGTAAATACTATTAAACGTGTTTTGAAATAAAAAGGTCAACACAAATGGTATAAGGGTAACTCTTGCAAACAGCTTATTTTTCGTCAATTGGTTTGTTTAAAACTGTCAACACTTATCCCAAAAGCAAATAAATATGTCTTTGTTTAAATATCCTCATTTGTTCTTTTTGTTATACATAAAACTCTTAGAATTTTTAACACTATATATTCGGTAAGTTTGATGAGTTATATTTGTCTATATATTGCAGTATATTTGTCTAAACATAAAATTGCAGTACAATTAAAAGTTAAAACAAAAGTTAACTTAATATTAGTTTGTCTCAGTTTTACCATACGAAACAGATGCAGCCCAACTTGAAGATCTTGCATTGAGTAGGTGCAGACCACAAACTACTTGCCGTTGCCGCAATGAATTCTGGGTAATACCCAAAGATTAGTTCCGGCATGATAAATGTAGGTACAGTTGCTTTTGATAATAATAATACTGTTTATTAAATAAAAAAAAACAACCCAAATAATAGAAAATATCTATGTTAGACGTAAAAACTGAGCACATAGTGAATCAAGAGCTAAAAAAGTTATTCGGATAAATATTTTAACATTAAATACTAAACTACAAAACTAACATAAAACCTCTGATGCGAAAAAAGTTAATTAATAAAGAACCAAGTAACTTAAAAATTGCCTTTTTAATAAAAAAATATGAAATCTATCAACAAATCTGAACCATGGGATTCCTTTCCCTACAAAACCTTCTTTCGAAAGTTAGATCTGGCTGGTTTGTGAACTTACTAGATTAGTCATATAGATTTCAGTTATGATAAAATGTGATATAGAACTCATTATGATAAAATTGGTAAGTTGTTAGGCTACGAGAGTTTGCCTGCAGACCCACAAATATAGAAAACAATTTAAGCGAATGTTTTTTTATGGCATCTAGAAGCTCTAACACGAAGAGTGCAGTGACAACGGAAGTGTTCTTAATGTTAAATAAGGTAACATCTACTTTCTGAAAAGGGAAAATGTTTGGTGGTATATATTTCTTTTTTAAAACGGCCAAAGCATCTTAATAAAAATTATGGTAATTTTAGTGGTGCATCCACTTATCAAACTACCTTTACCTTCTAACTAATAAAGAATAAATATACAACGTTAAAATTTAGAAGAAAGAACCATACAAACAAATCCTTATATTCTAATTAACCTCTCAAAAATATGTAGGTTTCGTATTTTATAACCTAGAAAAAATTGCTAAAACTTCCTAAACGAAATTACAATTTTCCTATAGTAGTGTATGGGTTGAAACGTAATAGCAATGTCGGTTAATAGAAAGTTTTATAGAGGTTTATACACTTTTTCCTAAAACGTCATGTGTACCTATGCTTCCCTTGTTCCTCATGTATTCCTTGTTTGTTTTCATTCACATCAACATAAATAAAAATAATACCTACTTCAGGGATGGAAAAAATTTTGAATAATCAATACAGTATTGTAATTATAACAATTCTTAGTAAACCTTTTTTCGTCTTAAGAATCCTTAGAGGCCAGAGGCTACCTTGGATTAATTTCAAACTGCTGCTGTTATTTTTTACCCAAAAGTATTTTTATAACCAAAGTGATTGTACATATTTAGGACACTGTAAAATCACACATTTTTGTGGTTCTGTAATTGTTTTGCAAAAGGAGTCATTCTATGCTAACGGCCATCTTGGATTTGACAACTATAAGAGCAACGTTAATTTAAAATAGCTGCTGAAGAGTTATTTACCATCTCAAAATATGTTTACGAATACCAAAGTGAATTTAATTTCAATATCTAAGGCACTATAAGATTATAAATATTCTTTGTAGTTTTGTGACTTCTTTATGAGTTAGCACAGCTAGGCTTCAATGACTTTGAACAAGTTTTATTTACATTCGAGTTGGATTCATATAGCTCTAACACCTTTTTGCTGTAGTTCTAGGAAGATTTATCAAAAGGTAACATACTGAGCATTTTAAATACAGTTTTATTAAATGGTTATAGTGTTTGGCATTACACTAACACGTTGCTCAACAACACTGTTTAACTATTCTACAACAAGTTGCTGAAATCTTTTAAACAATGTAAGTTTAAATTTATTTATATAATTTCTAGGGTAAATTGCATTCAGAATGATCGATTACTAGTTGTATTGTGTGTTGTGAAATGGTTGGTTGTATGTCAATCTTTTTCATATCAAAGTTCTTTACATAATAATCTAATCACATAAAAAAATGTTTAAATGAATACATCACATTATGTGCGCTTCAGACTGATCCTATGATTTTAAAATATTTGGAGAAGTTTAATTAATTATATTATTTTGCGAAACTGTATAATATTTGGAAACCGGGAATAATAATTAATAATAGGCTTTTCAAAATGAATGAATAAAAAAACAATTTCAACGGTAATTTCTGTATCACACATCAAAACATAATATGTAATTACAGCCATAACTGTTATGTAAGGATTAAAGAAATTTCAAGATGGAATTACTTTATTAATCCGTTCTACAGAGATATTGTTTTTCATTACAGAGACATATACACACCTTATTCTTCATTGCTGTTCATCGTATTTTACTTGATTAAAATATAGAGGATACTTTAGTCAGCTAAACAGGAATGAAACAACAGAGTTAAATAACATCTGATTATACAGTAAATGATTGAATTAATTTTAAAAATTCTGAGGCATATATAGGCAGTTATGTTGTTAAGATTTGTAAGATATAAAACAAAATAAAAGATGTATTTTAATTGTTTTACTTACGTTTTGGTTTATAAAAATATGCCTAGGACAAAATAGCCAGATCATAAATATTGACAATTAGGTTTTCTGTCATTTTATTTAAATGTACAGTATTAATTTTTGTATTATTTGTATTCTTTATGTTGACACTAGTCAACATTTAATTTTTTTATGCTAATACTTAAAACACATTGTTCGACTAGCTTTTTAATATATTTTTAAAGAAAAGCTGTAACTACCAGAACTAAGAAAAATTAACTATAAATCAATTCCACAGTTTTACAGCTTCATAGTTAACAAGCACAATTTCAGTATGACAGTTGAAAGATCACAGCCTTGCTTGACAACCAAGATATTTAGGAGTATAAATTTCATAATAAGTAAGTTGAACTTTTTTCAGCAAATCGATTTAACTTAAAATGAGATCTAATATTATATGTAATTTATTACATCATATAGTACGTAAAATTGTATTGTTCACTATTCCTTATTACATATATTATTATATGAACAAAATATATAGCTACTACTATTTCCTAGTAAGGTTTAACCACGACACGAGTAAACATTTCAAATTAACCCTTATAAATAGGTTTATAGCTCATTCAATTTATTTACTAGTTTATTGGATTATTTTTACTTTGTTAATTTATTATATTTAAAATTTTAATTACTTAAAACCCTCGATTTTAATCCTACAATTTAAAAAAAGTGTAACAATTATTTATGAAGATAATAGATTATTGGTAAATCAAAATAGTTTACACTTTTACAACGTTTACAATAAACACGTTTATCCGCCTAAATAATGCTATTAAAATATCCCGAAGTAAATACAATTTATAAAATAAATAAATATATAAATTCAAAACCAATTTAGGGAAATCCTAAACTTCAGATGGACATTTTTATAATTATAAAGTCTCTAATCGTAAATGTTAAACATCAAATTCATATTAAAACATTACTTAAAATTGACAAAAACATCTGTAGTTAATACTTGCGGACTGCAGTGGTTTAATAGAGTCATTTAAACTTTTTATTGCACTTAATTATAACAATTTATTTTTTAATGTTTTATTGTTTACAGTTAAACCTGTAACTTCAAAATACAACCGTTTTCATACAAATCATCTTCGTAAAAGTTTAAAATCACAACTTAGTTTCTTTATAGTACTGCCTACCGTCTGTTTCATTATAAAAAATAAAATATTCACAGTATTCACACACTTTTAGCAAAAATCACTTTGTGTTAAAAGTGTGCAAATAGTATTTTTTTTATTAATCACAACTTAGTGATTAAAAACATTTGCACTCTTGTACAGTTTTTTCTTAAACTGATCTTGACTTTAAAATCAGTCTGAATCACTCTCAGCTCTGGCCAAGTCGTAGAGAACAGCTGCTTCAGCAGATGAAGCCTTCTTGGTAAATGTAACTGACATTTGAGGTTTTCTGACAGAACACCCGCGACCATTGCAGTAAAGGTAACAGGAAAAACCAAGGAGTAGAAGAATGTTAAGTCCAAGGCCAACACAAGTCCAGTAGTACCACTTGCTAATGTCTACAGCTGTTGCTAAGGAACGTGGATAACAGTATGTCTCCTGCAAACATATTGTTTTATGTATAACAAGTATAATGTATGCATACATTGACTATATGCTAGTGTTACCTATGACCTCATATAAAGGATATTGGTTGTTGTTGGAATAATAAACCATAAGAAAATTTACACTTGATAAAAAGAAAATATTACAGAAAGTAAATAAAACATCGCAAAAATTATAACAAGTGATTAAAATCTTACAGATTTTAAGACATAGAAATAGTAGTTTATGCTATGTTGTAAAGACGTTATTACATAGTAATACTTAAATATTGTGGATTGCAAAAAATTTTTATAATCATTTGTGCATAATAGCTCGACTTACAAAATAATTATTATTTAAGCAATTTCCATAATCGATAAACGCTAAATAAAAATGTTGATCTAATTTGACATGTTCCCTAGTCTCCTTGACTTAAAATTTGTTCAGTTTTACTTTTTTACATAATAGCTTAAAATAGTTAGTTATGAGTGAGAACAATGTTTTGGTCAAATTTATTTTGTAAACATTAGATATGAAGTTGTAAATTGAAGAATTGTGTTAAATAAAATTTTTCTAAATTTACAACTTAGATAGATATTAAAGTTTACTAGTACACAGTAATATCACTGCACTGAACAATTATATATTTTAGCAGATACTATGTGTTAATAATGTACCTACAAATATTTGTTACAGATTAAGTAAAGGTACTAGTTTAAAATGTAAAAGTTTTCTGTCGTAGGGCTTTAAGCACTCGCACGAGATCGTTTTTCACATTACTTCAAGCTAGATCTTGGGCTTGCGGCATTATCACATGAATAAAATCTACTAGTAATTTTTGCAGGATTTGAACTCAGGACCTCAGGAACCGACGAAGTCCCGCACTCCACTACTAGACCAGCTCACTCCCCATTATTGCCTTAGTATTAAAAAACAGGATATAATACCTGATCTGAGGAGACTAGAAGTGCATCCCCGAAACACAGGGTACATTGGTAGTCGTTTGGTCCTGAGCAGGATCTGCAGCTGTAGTGGCAGCGAGCACAAAAAGCTTGGGTTTGGGGAGACTTTCGAGCGATGTTGGCCTCAGGAAGTTCTGGGTAAAATCCTTCAGGACATTGGCGATGACAAAACCCTTCAGCTAACCTCCATCCTATGTCACAGACTGGGAAACAAAAGACACATTATCATATTATGGGATTGAAATGTACAATATATATATAAGGATGACAATAATTAGTAATTCTATTCAAATAGTTTGAAAAGCTTAAGGAATACTTTAAGAGATTTTTTTTATACTATGGAAGACAATTTAATTTTTTGCTTGTTAAAACATTTGAAGTAGTAGGTGTGGACTTTAAATAGTTAAAGAATGTCCAAATACATGAGTTTTAAGCACAGAAGTGCATTTCAATAAAGTATGACAAGCATAGTGTGCTGAAATCTTAAAGTCCAAATAATAAAAGTGCCATTTGTATAGTGTTTACAACAAATTATAATTTTTTAAAGTAATCTGTTAGTAAAATTTAAGACATAATTTTTATGTCATGAAGTAATTCAAATAGCTCATGAATACGTAAAATCGTGAGAAACTATATTCCTTGTGGTCACTGTTAAAATTGCTTAACTGGAATTTAGATTTCAGTCATGGAAAAACCTATAGCTTTAACGATATCTCAGTGAAAATAGTAATAATTAGGGTTCTTTATGAGGTAAAACATTGCATTTCTTAAAGTGAACTGTGGAGTAAAAGCAATTTTTATTAAATAATATAACAAATCATGTAGAAACGTTGATATTCTATAAAAATTAATCAATACATTAAATTTTAGTAACTTTTTTTAGGTAAGTAAGTAAAGCAAGTAAAATAACAACCATACAATTCAAACTAATTTAAGTACTAAATATAGGTAATTATAAATCTGTCGATAAAGAGTATGGCAAATAATATTACGTGGTTAAAAATCAAAACATTCCATAATTATGGAATTGTTAAATATTATAGGTGTAAAATGTATACCATTCTTGGCCAAATTAACCTTAACAAAATAGATTAATTGTCCGAAAAAAATATTGTTTTGTGGTTATCTGACAGTAGAAAATTGCTTAGGTAACTAAGAGGAGGAAAAACCAAATGCAAGGTAAACACTAAATATTTGTCGTGTGATAAGGGAATATTATGGAATATAGTTAGTCAATATCAATAACTAGCATATATTGAATCTTTTTTCAACACACAACGAATTATATGCAACAGTAAAATATGTGTGTTAAACATGCAAACATAGATGAGAAGATGTTAGTAAAGCAGCACAAAATGTAAAATATTTAAATAATACGTTCGTTAAATTGAGGAGTAATACTGCATCGAAATATTAACTTCTTAATAGGTTTTTATGATAATATAATAGGTTTAGTTTTTTTTTTTTTTATTTTACGTCAAGAACTACTTTTTAATATTCAATCGATAACACTTCTTATGTGGTAAGAGTAAAAAAAAATGTTTGGAGGTTTATTATGTATTCTAATGTGTCTTAAACTCGTTAAACAACTATAGAATTTAATGTCTTTATAAACAAATCTATTTATTGCTTCTTAAAACATTCCAACTAATTTCATAACGTATCATTTAACCATTTAGTACTAAGTCAGCTGCAACTAAAATATAATATACCAATTAGGTACTAAGACAGTTTGGAGGTTTATTTATTAACATTTAAAATATTTAAAAATTACTATGTAGAAATGTTAAAATAAGTATTAATTATTAGTTTATGTTATAAAAAACATGGCACGCCATTGACTAAGTGATTAATATAATTGGTTTAGTTTTTGCTCTAGGCACGTCTTGTGTTTTTGCATCTAATGTACAAGTTTGTCAAGGGTTATTACAATGAATGTTGAATGTAAATGCGATAGGAAGAATAAAGGTTAGTAAGTTAGGCTAGGAAACTCACCCAGACACAGAAGCAAGACGCTCTGCCACCACCCTGCTGCTACACTCAGAGGGAAATTTGTGAAAAAAAGCACAAAAAATAATTGAAAAAATAATAAAAGTTCTACATTTATTGAATGAATAAAACAGCTTTTAAATCAAAGATAAACGCAAACGGTTCTTGGTTACTTGCAGTAGATAAAAAAAGTACAAAAAACTAATTAGTAAAAGACTAGGGGTGTTTAGGCTTATCATGTGAAAAAATATCATCATGTCATATAATCATGTTCGAAAAAATGTTTTTTCGAAGTAACCATACATTTGATAAGGACTTATAAAATCTACTCTTTACCTCCTTCACATTTATTTTTTTAATTAAATAGAGTTATTAGATGCCAAGAAGAAACTACAGATTAGTTTCCAGGAGATAATATAAAGTGAACATGTAAGTGGTTAAAGTACAGTTTAATTAATACTTGATATACCAAATCTTTCATAACAGTTCTGTTGCGCTTTGTATACTTGACTTATGTTCTTGATGAATAATTGTAGTTACGGTTAAAATACAGATGTACCTTTTTCTGTTAGTATTTTTTTTACTCCTTACAATTAAATGACCTTCAACAGAATATGGAGTGGTTAGTATGATGCAGAGGATACATATATGAAACACATCTAGTTGTGTACAATATTTTATTTTATGCAATAACACAGAACTGTATGTATATGCTCCCTGTAACACAGCTACAAACAAACTATTTACATCACAAAAACTAAATTAGGAACATGACACATAAAATTGACAAAATTCATTTGATATCTGTTAGCTTATGCACCTTAACTTGAATTTAATTTTCAGTCGTTGAAAGATTTATAGTTTTCATGATATAAGTACAAGCGCTCAAAAGATATGAAAATCACACACAAAAAATAACCATAAATTACATTACTAAATCGTATAACAAAAATTAAAATAAATTTGTTCATTATATTTTAAAATAATATGTCACATAAAAAAAATAATAATTGTAATTACATACAACTGACAAATAAATATCTGTAATAATTAGACATATAGTGTACATATATATAAAAAAGCTAAAGATGTAATATTAAGCTCTGTAACCTTAGGTTATAATAAATATACTTTAAAACTCAACAAAATCGATATTGTTTAATGTGATTAAAGATTTTTCATCCATGTTAGCACAAACAAGTTACGGTTTCTGAATATGCAAATTATATTTTGTTCAGCAAGGAAAATATAATAACACTTCAAGTAATTTTTACAGTTGAAATTTAGATTTTTTTTGTTGAAATAAAATTTTAATATTTAAACTACTTGAAATATATAACAAATCGAAGGGCATAAGAATGACCTCCTAGTGAACTGTATACGTGTGTTGGCATTCATTCTATATAAAGTTAGCAAATGAATTCAGCCTTCTATCTTTTTAACCATAATGAAATTGTACAATAAGGGCTAGTTATATAAAATTTACTAACGATTTTACAAAAAGAGGCTCATTATATTTACATGATTCGTATCCCACTGATCATCAGTTCAGACCTACCATATGTCCTTGTAATTACAGATGATTAAATTAAAATGAATACAAATTATAAATCAATATTTTCAAAAACTTAAGCATTAGAATAAAATTTACTGTATTTTCTTAGTATTCATGTCTTGGTTATTTAAAAAGAACAACAAAAACACCGGTAGCTCTGTAACAGTCCATCTGTGATTTAATAAAACGTAAGTAACCCAAAGAAATCTTATTAAATATATTAAAGTGTAATTCTACATTAAACAACATAAAAAAAACATAATCGACGTAACGTTTAAAGGATTGTAGTTTTTGATTCGTTATGAATTGATAAAAAATGTTTTCTGAAACATTTAAACATACACAAAATTTCATTTAGTGAAGTATAAATATGTTTGCTCTAACCTATTATATCGCTATTATTATTCTCGCTTTTGGAAGACTGTGTTTCAGCATGACAGACATAATTTGATAAGTCTAAACTGAAGTGGTGAATTGAGCGATGCTGTCGGAACACTTGATCTTATGATACAGAATACATTATGTACAAAGATTATGCGAGTCATAAGCTGCTCGGTTTCGTGCCGAAGATATATTATAATTGCACTTAATGAACCAACTCACTTTACACTGTCAATTTTACTCTTGGCTCAATACCATTCGTTTGCTACGCTCTGGCTTTGCAATAAATTACCTTGATTTCCTTTAGAAAACACGATTCACATTTGCATATAATAAGAAGAAAACAATTGGAGGGTAAATTAATATGGGTAATTTCCTTAAAAGGGTATTCTTACCATACATTATTAGACTACAAACACAATTTAAACTAAGTTTGTTGATTTAGTTTCTGATATGTTTTTATTTGCAGAGCGTTAGCAAACTTAATTAGTGTACTCCTTTACATTACGAATTTACACTTATAAGCATACAGGTACAACCTTCAAACAAGTTATGTTTTTTACACAGACATGGTTTATACAAAATTATATTTGGTCAATTCATATAGATACAGGGTTTTGCTCAAAATAATAAATTAATAGTTAATAGTACCTTACATTTTACCTACAATCACACTTTAAATCCATAACAGTTAAACACGGGTGTAAAAAGAATCAGTTTGAAAACTGAAATGTTATTGGTGAGTTATTGTAATTTTACACTCATTTCAATTTTGATGCATATATTTTCCTTTTCTCACAGCTCCTCCTTCAGCTTTAGGAAAATCCGTTTGAAATCCAACTCAGATATGACAAATAGAACTTTAGCAAAGTTTAACTGTTGGAATTTCACTAACATTGGTATATTGCTGGTGTTAGTAATACTCCTAATCTTTGGAAAACAATACCGTTCCGTTGCTCTTGACTTTCTGGTAAAACTTATCTCTAAAGGAATGTATGATGAAGACGTCGCAGAGGAAAACGACACGAACTGTGCGTGGTTGAAAGACTCTCGGTCGAATCTCACTGACTACTATGACGCTTTACTCGATATCTGAATGTGACTACTCAAAGCTAAATTACGATAAAATGTACACAGCAGGACTAAGGCTAAGCACCAACCTAGGCAAGTTTCTGTCGTTTTCTTACAGCCAGAGATATCCGACATATGATCACGAAAATCCGAGTTGATTTTCGATCTGTCTAAAGTCTTTACGTCAGTCCAGCTGTTGCTGGGCTTGGATGTTGTAGGTCTCACAGGGGGGGAGGGAGTGAGAGCTGATGTTTGTGGTGGAGTGTCTGTCCCATAGAAGATGACCTGCCAGTCAATCAGCTGACCTGGACACATAAACAAATCAGATTACTGGCCAAGTACATAGAATATAACAAAACTTAAATGGAAGATATTAATTTCGAGCGGTGCAAAAGATTGTTTACTTATTTCTTTGCCTCTTTCAAGTGTGTTGTAGTAGCCTGGATGAGGAGTAAATACTAGAACTGCAAGTATATTACTTCAGAAAAAGGGTTAGGAAGACCTTTTTTCACCACAAAGTAAGTTTAGACATATAAAACAGAAATACGAGTAATATAAAAAATATTAGAAACAAACTACCATAGTACCTAATTAATTTTAAAGATAGGTATTCTTGTATTTTGGTCTGAACAAAGAGATGAATTCGAAAGGTGTAGTTTTATAAATATTACAACAGGAAATATAATCACAACAAATTACCATGCAGTAAATTACAATGTAGGGTTGAGCTTATGAGTATAACAAATTCTAACTTTATTACCAAATATGAACATTCCACCTGTTTGAAGTATACTAGTCAAACTACATATTGTGAAAGATAAAATAACAACAAGTGTTCTGTTCTTTCGGAGGTAAATATTTTGTTATTTATAAAATAAGGACAATTTAAAAGAAACATTACATCAACATTGTTTACATAAGATACAACTTTTGACATTATTTACATGCAACATGCAATAAAAAAATGCAATATGGTTAATATCATGCAACACAAAAATAACCAAACAAAATACACATTATAATAAATCAGTACATACAACAAATAAAATGTATAGTGAAAGAAATAGGATATGTTTTTTTTCAGGAAAGGGTTGAAAAGGCTACAAAAGGTGATAAAAATAAATAATAAATATCAAGAATGTGCAACAGGCAAGATGTATTGAACCTTGCCTGGAGATTTAGCTTCCATAGGATCTCCTTGAGATACTCCTTTCTTTGCAGGTCGAGGCGGGCTTTCATAAAGTCTGGAGTAAGGGTAGAGCTGCTGCACTTTGTGGTACTTTTGGAAAATTGCAGGAAAAAGTGGAGGAGACAGATTTGATGGTTGAAGAGCAGGAGCTAACAGGATAAGGCTAACAGGAGCAGTAGGACCAGTAGAACTAGTAGCTTGGAGGGGAGGTTTAGTAGCAGGAGCAGTAGTAGGTCTGCGAGCAGAGATTACAGAGGGTCTGGCAGTTTTGCGAGGAGGCGAAGAAGTGACTGGTTGCTTTTTAAAAGGCCTGTTTTCCTTCGTGGAACTCTTCCAAGGCTTTGATGTGGTGCTGCCAGATTTATTTTTCCTATTCTTGTTTTTACGAGGGGGAGGTGGAAGATTGACTGGGTAGGGTGGAGCGAAGGGTGGAAGGTAGTTAGGTGGGGTTTCTGTTCCGTAAAATAGTAAAGCCCATTCATGAAGGGTTGCACGCCCTGGACAACAAGGTCATGTTAGTAAAGCAAGGAACCCAATACAAAACCTTGATTAAGCATGGTTATGTTAGTGAGCATGAACAAAGCTAAAATACCATCACCATTATAATTTCTAAATGTCATTTTGGTGTATTATATTTTTAATATTATGTATAGGCAAATAATTACTGTGATTATTTACATATGATAAATACTAATTAAGAAATTTTACGATATATACATACGATTAACTAAAAGCAGGTTAAGATATGATTTTTATATCCATTTTACTTCACTACTTTATAGTGATTCAGATACTTAGAAAACCCAAAACAAGAGTATAATATATATTTTCAGTACAATCATTGTTTACACAATTAAAGCATTGACTAAATTAAAGCTGAACAAATTAATTTATCTGTGAGCAAATAATTTGTACTCCATCACATCTAGTATACATATAGTACCTTCGAATCACATTAAAGATACAAAAACCACACTGTTATGTATTGTGTGAGTAGGTTACAACTGTTACCAGGATAATACAAATTCACCAAAAAGTAAACTGATGTAGCCAACCTACTTGTTAGTTATGAAACCCAACATTTCAAGCCACCAGTTATCATACCCAATTCTCACTGAGTCTAAAACTTCCACCTTAAGCATTTTTGAGAACTTACCTAAGTAACGTCCCTCGTTGTGTATGTCCAGCTGCCAGACTCCGAAGGGTTGTTCACCCCAAGTGTGCACTGACATGAATGGCCAAGAGTCAAACCCAGCTCTGGAGATGTCATGAGGTCTCCGTGCTAACAAGGTGGACTTTGTACCAGCTGGAGATGTAAGTTGAATCTGGAGGTCTCCTCTTCTCTGAGACATCAATGTGATCTTCGCCTGTAGTAGAAATGATTGGTAAACCTGTTTCTTTTATTGTATCTTATGAAGTGACTTATGTCGTTACTCATAAATATCCCCATTAGTTGCAGCTTTTTTAGAAAAACCCTTTATAGTGCATATGTTTTGTATATCTAATATAAAAATGAGGCATTGAACAAAATTATAAGTTACATTTTTTTCTATCGCTTTTTTACACCTATGTTGAGTAGAAATATCCATGAAAATACTGAGCTAATTAAGTTCATAAATAATTATGTAGTAGCGAAGGCTTTGACCTGCTTAAAAGATGAACTCAGATCACTAGATTGTATTTTTAATTACTACGTGTTAGACATATATTAACATATATTATTACATATAGGTCTGAGAAATTTTTTTTTTATAATTGAGTACCTCGACCTATTGTATTTTGTTGCATTATCCTTAACAGTTAAAAATTTCCCTGGAAATTTAACTTTAAAATTTAAAGCAAGAAATTATTAAATGTGTTTTGGGCACTACTATGATAAATTATTATTTTGAAAAAATAATTATATAAGATAAAGTTTTAAAGAAAGTAAATACCTGTACATGTTCCAAATAGTTGACTCCAGTACATTCCTTAACATTCAACTTGAGGCTAAGAGTACCTTTTGGAGGAATACCCCTGAAAAAGAATTACTAGTTTCAGACAATGTTTGCAATGAATTTTTACTGCTTGTAATAACGACAAATACATCTTTTCATTATATATTCAGGTCATTATATTTCAGTTTAATAAAGCAGCTATATGAATAAACAAAGTGAAATATTATCATTTAACACGTTTTTACAGAACTCATACTTATACTGAAATAACATATAATTTCCTATGGTCGCACAAACAGAGGAAACAGTAATTTATTGAATATCATTTAACCATTTTTTATAATAAACTTAAAGGTTGTTTTGTTTGTTACCCTAACTAATATTGGGTGTATTGACAAAGTTGTTGGTTGGACATTGTTCACCACACTCGAATCAATCTAAAACATGATTAAGTAATAGATTTTGTTGTATTATTACTTACTTGTTGATATGTGGAGCAGATACTTCGCACTTGTGTTGTTCAGGAACTGTTTGCCAAGTTCTGGCTACTCTGACCATTGATGTGGCGTCCATCAGGCCATAGCCAAAGGAGTGGCTCACTACAATGTCAATTGAATAAATAAATAATGTGAAAAATAATAAAATCTATTACAAAAAAGTTTATAAAAAAAATAGTAGTTTTCTGGATGAATATTTTATTTTAGTGCATTATTTTAAACACTTCTAGTGTAAAATCTACTGGTGATCTAACTTGAAAAAAAGCTTACTGCAGGTAAAATGGTAGGATAGTTTTTGTACCAAGTATTTACAAGCTGTATACATACTAGTCATTAATAATAATTAAAAACTCTGGCTAACAAAAAGCCTTACAAGATGATTTTTGAAAACAATTACTGAAGAGTCTGTACATACTAATGTGCATGTATAGTTTGTTTGGTTAAATAACATAGTAGTGCCTTGTATCATTAATTAAAAATGTTAGGTTATCCCGTCTTGTTATAATAAACAATCGTAAGAGATATTGAAACACAACATTGAAAAATGTTTTGAATATTTTATTAAATTGTATAGAAACAGCAATGACTCCAAACAATATGCTCAAATAATGTCTACAAACAATTTAAACGTTCGACAAGGTGATAGAGAACAACTGACACAAATTTGGTAGAGTTTAGCCAGTGTCAGAGTTATTATTATTATTTCTTTTTATGAAAGCAACATCCAACATAATAATAGTATTTTACTTGTGTACATACATACAACTGGTTTTATTACCAGACCAATACCAGCCACACTTGGCAAGAGCAGTGGGCGAAACCCCACATTTTTATTCTTTTGTAATAATGAAAATACTTTCCAGAAGTCTATTTGAAAAACTGTTACTGTCAGAAAAGTAAATTTTTGTCCCTCTGCGAAACCATCATCAGGCTGTTTATTCTTATAACTGTGAGTAGAAAAATTACCATAAACATTTATTTGATACTTATTAAATACATATTTATAGTAATTTTTCTATAAACATAACTTTATCTCCAGTCAACACCATACTGTACAAATACCCTCCTCCTAATGCCATGGTATTATTTGACCAAAGGTTATTCATTTTTTATAGCCACAACCTTTTTGGATTAAACAGGGTGTGTTTCCAGCATAATATTAAGTGTGTCGGACTTTGAATCAAGACTGACAGGTTCTACGCACATACCCACACAAAGATTTGAAGGGGCATTGGCAGTTAAATTAAATAACAATTTTTAAACCCATTAATACAATTTTCAAACTGACCGTTCCTCCCTACGCCATTCACAGTCCAGTCAGGCGCACGCAGGTTGGCTGGTCGCGCCGTAGCTACGACAATGTGCTGCATGTCACGCCAGGTCAGAGCTCTGTTGGCCTCCAGTGCTAGAGCACAGATCCCAGCAGCGAGGGGCGCCGAAGCTGAGGTACCAGTGTGGCTGCTGGTACACTGATGGTGCAGGTCTGTAGTCACCACCTAGACACAATACTTTCTTAGAGTAGCTTCTTGGTAATGTTTGCTGTTACCAAAACTACAAAAAGCTAAAACAAAATATTGTTTAAAAAACACCTAAGATACTTTTAAACACAATTTTATCAATATTTTGTAGCTAAACAATACCTGTCTCTCCCCTGAAGACCCACTACTGTACGTAGTTGCCAGTGTGCTAGAGCAGGCCTCAGAGTACCAAGGCACCAGTCCATTCTCAGTAGCACTGCTGATGGACAATGTCCAGATAGAGTTTGTGTATCCATCACAGTTACAGTTGTCACTGTCTCTTCCACCGTTACCCGACGCCCACACAAATATTGACCCTTTGCCCGAGCGTCCCTGGAAAATTATGGTATGTTGCAGTTAATTACTTAACAATTAGCTAATGATTTTTACACATTGAATTATATAGTAATCCTTAAACCAAAAACTCACTTATTTCGTTCAATTGCACAGCTGTAAATTTGAATATTGATAAAATAGAAATATCGCAATAGTTCTTTTTCAGGCATCGCTCAATGTTTAAGCTAGATGCTAGTTTAATTTGGCTACTCCTTTTTGTGTTTAACTAAAAGCAAGATTTACATGATTCAAACGATATAGCACACTTAACTCACGTATAATAATTATCATGTGTCATTTCATAGAAAAAACATAAAATTAGGAAGTAGAGTGCTATGAATTTATTTGGTTTTTTATCACATCAGACCTAAGTTGAAAATCTGTATAGTTTATCTTACAAGGACCTAATTGAATATTTATGTACTTTCCGGGTGGACTTATTTCAAAAGAAAGTAAGACCCTTTTATCGGAATTGCAAAACATTTTTTCCATACAAAAGTAAAATAAAGTAGCCATAACATGTACAAAATAGTAAATACACATTTCCTATAATCGAAATGATTGACTTAATTAGGGATTCGGTATAGTACTAAGCCAGATTAAAATGCTTAATATATTGATGCTAGTTATACCTTGGTAACACCTTCGATGAATGCTCTCATGGCTAACTCCCCAGGGCCATCAACAGTTTTGCCATCATCATCAGGACCCCATGAGGCACTGTAGATGTCTATGTGTTGAGGGTTGAGGCTGAGGGATCTAGCTTCTACAGCATCAGTCACGTCCCCATCCAGCATCCTTACACCTAAAAAAATTAAATAATAATTTCGTCACATCATTCTGAGAAGTAGCAATCTTAGAAAAGCTTGGGAGAAAATTATTTTTTTGAAATCGTTTATCTTACCAAAAACACAAAAAAATAAATAAGAAGCCAGTAGAAAATGAAGAAAATCGTATTAAGACATGTTCTTTTTAACATCTAACAAAATAACACCACTGCAGTTGACTCTGACCTTATAAAAGACACACAAAATTCCAAAACTGTGCGGATAAAGTTGGATGACTTGAGTGTGAGTATATTGCAGCGAGTGTGTGGGATCATCAAGTGCTGGATCATCTAGTAGCAAGTGCAGAGTGTGTTTCTTACGGATTGGTAACTGAGGATTTTACGAAATTTTAACTTTGGTGCTGACTATGCCTTCTCGATATGGTCAACTCTCAGCTGAATTCCTTGTGGCTTGAGTGTTTTATTATAAGTAACTTTAGTAACGACAAGTTTTTCAGTTGTCAAGTGTTTATAATTGGTAAAAAAGGTGTACAACTTTTTTTCTAACTTAATCAGTATTTTGTTCGTACTATAATTGTAATAAAACTTGTGTTCACTGGCTATCTTGCGGCTTCTAGAGTGTTTGGGAAAAGATCTTAAGACTCACTATATGGGATCACTTGTTCTGACGGTATAATTTATAAGGTATGCGTAAACTAAGGAAGCGTTTTGTTTTAAGTAGGACTTGCAAGTAACGTTGTTTTACAACATCAAAAGTTTTTAAATGATGACCTACAACTATTGTGGAAACAGACCACGAAAAAACCTATTTCAGAACATTTCAATATATTTCATAATGAAGCTTCACCGATTAAAATAACGACCTACTAATTGTCAAAAAGTACATAACAAATTATTGTCGCAATGCAGAAATGAAAACGCTTGATGATGGAAGCAATTTGGCCTGCAGCCAGCTCTTGGTGTTGTGTTGTTGGGATTGTTTAAGAGTGATGATGAAGAAGTAGGAGTGGGTAAGAGGGAGGGGGTTACTTCCGAGCTGCTAAGCCAACTGTCTGCTTTAAATTAAAATAAATCTTCATCGTTCTTAGTTGGGTATACAGCAAATCTCAATACGATGTGAAACTTAAAATTTTTATAGACTAGCTGTGTTACTTATATTTCGATTGAGCTTGTGTAAAGCAAACTTAGTGTGTGAAGGGTGTAGGCACATGGACCAGGCTGTAATCCTTCTAATCACGGTTGGTTGGCCTGTCAGTTCTAGGTTGGTGTCGAACGCTTCCACATCATTCGGTGCATTGCCGAACTGTTCACGGTAAATTGTTAGCTCTATCCCCTTTGCTGTTAAAACGTATCGTTTGTAGGTAAAATTTAAATTTTATTTAATTGGCCTAAACAAACTAACCAAACTTTTTGGGAATGAAAAATCTAATGAAGGTTTACTAATAAAAAAAAAAAAGTTCTGTTCATAAAATAAAATTACAAATGCCTAAAATTCAATTTTAAAATTGTTATTATAAAATTAAACTATCATAACCTAACCAAACCTATTAAACTTGCTGATAATGAAAAAATCGAATAAAGATTTACTAATCGAAAAATAGTTCTGATCATTAAATTAATTATAAATTCTAACAAAAAATGTAGAGTTAAGAAGTAATCGCATTTTAAGCGAAACATTGACAACAAGTTAACGCCTCCGGCCGGGTTTCAGAATTCTCGATTCCCCACCCCTCCTCCGGTGACCACTACCCTTAGGACATAAATCAGGGGATTAACCCAAACAAAGATCTGGGCCGTTGTCCGTCTCCCGTGTGAGAACTATCGGTAAATTTATTAACATTTTAAGTTTAATAACTTGTATTTAGCTCATTTACATTAATATGTTTACAAATAAATAGTAACAAGCATCCATTGTAAGAAGTTAAATAAATAAGAATATAAATAAATAAATAATAAATAAATAAGAAATAATAATAAATAAATAATAAATAATAATAAATAAATAATAATAAATAAATAAGAAATAATAATAAATAATAATAATAATAAATAAATAATAAATAATAAATAAATAATAAATAAGAATAAATAAATAAGAATAAGAAATGTGCAGCTGAGTTTTAATTCGCAGCATTGTAAAATTTTAAGCTTTAAATGAAAACGTAACTAAACAAAGACAACTTTTAAATTATAATATTTTTTCAAAATGTATAACTAAGAACTATTTAAAAATACACAATACAAATTGCTTGACAAAAAGATTACTTGATAATACTTTAAACAACATAAAAAGGAGCTACATGATGATTTACATTATAATAAACTAACTCTGCTTTCAAGTGAGAAAAATTTAAATGTACACCATTTAACATGCATTTTGCATGATAGATTCTACGAAGAATGTTAACAACCCAACAAATTCTGTTGAGTGTGCACGTGCAGGTCCATTAAGTCAAGCACTGGATAACACTGTAGTTATTTCCATAGATCGATTTGGTAAAGAAAAATTTACAAATTTATATTATTATCGTTGTTATCAATGGTACTTACAGTAACGCACAACTAAGTGTGTATATTTACCTGGAAATGAATGTAGGGTGAGTTTAGAGTTAACAATTATAAATGTGTGGCTTTGTTTTTTTCAAACATCAGGTTCTGTTGACGAAACCGTTAATCAAATAACCAAGTACAACTCAACCCATTTACGCCTAATCGAAATTTGTCCTTTGATTTGAAAAATGTTTCATGACCTAAACAATTGTGGATTAAAATAACAACAATATACTAGTATAAAGTATATAAAATTCAACTGACCACCAACGCTGGCTCCGTATGCAACCCCTACTGCACACAGAGAGTTGTTTGCTGTAGCAGCCACCTCCCCAGCACATCTCGTACCGTGTCTGTTGGAGTCTATGAGGTCATAGCGCGGCATCGGGTCGTCATCCCTGTTGTTTACATCATAACTGGCTTGAGGGTCCTGCAATACCATGTGTTTTGAAAGGCAAAATTGGCCAATAATGGTTGTTAAGAGCGTGCTTAAAGTAAGTTTAAGACTACAACTAAAACTGGTTTTACCCTGAATACTACGATATTGTATTCTTTTATCTTTGTTTAAAGCAGTTTTAACTAACTTATTTACATGAAAACCAACGTTTGAGAGTAATGAATTATATTTTCTATTTCAAAGTATCATCATTCTTTCAACAATACAGTTTACACAAACAACAATTGACCAATAATATACATGACATAACACTGAATAATATGCATAACCAATACATATTGTGAATAATACTCGTAGATAGGTAATTCATTTAAATAAAACTTTATGAATTACCTTTTGGATTACAATTACTTTTTGGCTTACAAATACGAAATATACTATTAAAACAACTTTCCTTGTGTAAAAAATAATTAGAAGCTCAAGTTTGTTTATACTATCTAGAGATAAAATGTTTACTTGGGTATTATCACAGACAAGGTTTTATAAGTGCGAACAAAATTCCTACTCAGTAATTTCTAAGACAATTTGAACGAGAACTTTACCATAGAGAGCGTGTGTTACAATACAGAAACAAAATACTTCAACACATTTTATTGAACCTCTTTTTAAACTCATAAAGGTAAAGAACAGAAAGGCATGCAGTTTTGAGCTTTTGCCGTAATCCATCATGGGAATACTGGTTCGTTCGAGCTTTTAAAGGAATTGATTCCCGTACAATGAATCAAAGCGGATCTGATAAAACCGCAGCAGACGATACCAATGGATGTATACAGAACAGAGTCGCTTTTGATCAGTTGCATCCTGTGATCATAGCAGACGTAACTCTGATTGATCATAGAGGTCGTTGTATCAGTTGCACTACTTATTGGGCAAAGGTTATCAATCGTGTATCACAAGGAAGTTTTTATAAAGCAACATATTGCAAAGAAGGATTATCAATGGATAAACTTATAATAGTTTACGCAACGATTGCGTAAAGATAATGTTAACGACATGAGTACAAAATTTAAGGTACGAGCCTTGACGAGTGTCTTAAAAACTTCTACGAGTGTCGTTATTTACGCGAGTTGCGTACTATACTTTACCTACGACGGCGTTTTTATTACTAAAAATCACTGCTCATAACTTCTAAGAGAGGTTATGTTTTTGTTTTTAACCTCTCATTGCCACTGACAGTGATGCAACGAAACATTGTACCAAACACTAATTGCACCAATCAACAATTAAATTGGCCTGAACAGCTGATTAGTTGAATTTTGAATCATTACAATTTTGCTTCTCCTCTCCCAATCCTTGAACCTCATTGGTCCGTTACCCGTGTTGTTATGAGTAAAACTATGCTGTTATGAAAGTAAACAAGGCTGTTATGAGATACTTTCAATTCTAAAAACTGTACTGAAACGGCTACTTTAAAAAACGGTCGTAGGTAAAAACTATTTTATGTCAGCAAATATTTAATTAGCGTTGTATTGCTGGTCGCAAATAGTTTTCATCTACAATATATGTCGTAAACAACCTCAAAAGATAGTAATGTTTGATCTCAGACAAAAGTTATTTATACGTATTGCATAAGTTACTGTACCGTATTCGTGGAGTTATTTGTATTTTCTCAAGGTTATTTCCCCACCCAAAATGTATAAATATAAGTTATTACTGAATGATCATGTAATTCGATCACAAACTATTGGTTGCACAACCTATCATCACGGTGGATGCAATGAATAATTGATCACGTGCTTAGTTTCAATTAGCAACAATCACTTATCACCTAATATGTAACCAATGATTTATCACTTTGGATCAAAAATAGCTAATATTTACGATTACTTAAACATTATTAATCAGGGAGTTCATTTTCACGGTTACGACCAATCATATTCATTTGTTAATAAAATAAACATTGTTATATAGTAGTTAATTGTTATCAGCCAAAGAGTTTATGATAGCATGAATAGTAATGATATCTTTATTTGTAGAGTTTTTGTTTTTGAAGTATATAATGCATAACTTGAATAATTGACTTTAGTTAGAGAAGTAACCATCTATATAGACCAGCTGTTACAGATGTTTTATAAAAAAAACATAGCTGCCAATTAAATATAGTCAAAAACTATATTTTCTCCCTTAATTTTTTGACTATACGCCGTCAAAGATACTACAGTATATGAAAAGTTTTCTTTTGGAAAAAAATTATCAACGAAAAATCATCAATTCACATCAACAAAAGCAAAAACCAACATGGGCTACATTAAGATAAATTTCATATTTTTGCTCTAGAGCCGGCTACTAACAACTTAATCATAAGAATGGAATGTCTTAGTAAGTTCATGTTGTACATGTTTCGAGCTAGTCCAAGCCCTTCTGCTAAAAAAAAAAAAAACAAAAAAACAGAGAGTTGAAATTACTTACGTAGTTTTTCATGAGATCAGGATGGTCTTTTTCAAGCCCGTCGTCCAGTATGGTGACTACAACTCCTTTCCCCGTGACTCCTTCCTTCCAGGCACCCAACACGCTCATGTCCAAACCATTCCCCCGATGCTGGAGTAACCAAAACCATTACTATATTGAATTGTATATTATTTAATTATAGGAATATTTGATCAAAAGCTGAAATACACAAGTAAGTTATAAATATATATAATATATCTGGTTGTTTTATGGACGAGGCAATGCATTGCATGCAATATTGTAGAGCTAGACGAAGGCATTGTACAAAACAAAGATTAGGGACTTTTTTAGGCTCTGTTTGTTTTAACCAGATTATCGGAACGATTACATCAAAAGACAATTTTCACACTTCGTATCGTAAATTTTAGTCTTAAACGAAACTATGTTTTAATGATGATTTATTTCGCTTTGAACTTTTTTTTATACTCATAAAATGCAAACGTGATAACAATACAAATTGATATGTTACGAAATTACCGAATGCTCTACTATGTGAACCATCTTACTTTTTTACCAAAATGCTTGAACACAATTGGTTTGCTCAACAAAAACCAATTGGTTGTCAACACAATTTATGGATACAAGCTAACGTATACTAAAACCAAAGCTGGTTTAACTCTTCAATTCATGCAATATATTTGTAATCAAATACATCCGTTTTGCACAGAAGAATAACAAAACACATAGAGCCTTCTGTAATTTTGAAAAGTTGCAAAATATACGAGTCATTAAATGTTAATGAAAACAATAATTAGATTATAAAAACAACTTACCAAATACCACATTTGCATCCACCTTGGATCATTTAGGTAAAAAGATGTTTCTTCGCTGTTTAGAGGCAGGTAGTCTCTTTTTCTTCTTGATTTTATTATTTGTTGTTTAGCCCACTTAACCTAGCGAGAAATAGACACATACGTAAGATACATGTAAATGGAATACCCTTTTCAATAATAACGTATTTATATTTCTTTTAAATAAAGAGATGAATTTTGTGTAAGCTAATAAAAAATGAAATTAAATAAATTAAGATTAATATTTAAGAATAACAGTCTAAAGGTCGGTTAGGTCCGTAAATATTAGTAGTTGTCAAATACTTTTCAGTATCAAATAAATAAAATAGTATTTATAGAAGGTATATATAAACAGTTTTTAAACTCTAAATGCCAGTATTTTAAGGTAAATTACTTTAGGTTCCATGACTAGATTGGTATGGTGGTCCGGACTAGGGTCGATGGAGCGCTTGGCGATCTTTTGGTGTTCGAAGTGCCACAGGTCTGGGAAAATCTGAAATAAAATTTAAATTTATTAGTAGCCTAAGGTAAGCGATCTAAATTTATTTTAAAATTTCATTGCAGTTGTTCTGTTTTTACCCGTTGTGTGTTTTTGTTATGCTTGTGTTATAATAAAAAGATACATCAACTAAAATGAGATATGTAGATGCTTATTCAATTGAAAGTTTCTCTTCACCTCAGACAACTAATAAACAACTAATAAATTGCAGTTACGAACAACTGGGTTGCGATATTATTACATACTAAACGCAATTTGATAAGCGAAATTTCCTGAGCATTCAAAAAATAATATTTGTGATCTAGCTACTAGGACAATCTCGGTTATAATCATATATACAGAACATTTAATTTATTACAACTTATTGAACATCATAAAATATCGTCGGGCGTTGGGAACTAAAGGTTTTGGCAGAGGGAATAGTATACAAAACTTAGCTATTCGTCCATCAATTACCATCTACTTCACTTGTCCGTACAAGACCATTCTTCTGAACTTGTTCAAACTTTACAGAGATAATGGAAATACCTAGTTATCGCTTCTAGTACTTGCAGATACCACCTTTCAATTTCCAACAAAATAAATTTAAAACATAATTGGTTACAGCTGCATTTATTTGAGTCTTAAGGAAATAGAAAATCACTAGCAAACATGTTTAGTAGTTTTAAAGTATGTAGGCCTAAATAAAACAAGAATCTGAGAAGAAATACAGCTGATGGTATAAGTTATTTACTAATGAATAGTTGAAAAAAATTAATCAATGTTTACAGGAAAATTTACTAATACTATAAATTGGGTCTAACCTACTTTTGATGCGAATCCCTAATATCATGGAATTTTATTCGACTAAAATTATAATCATCACTGAGCCAGGGTATAATTTTTACTATGGGTATATGTTTTACATGTATAGTTAATTAGAGATACCAAAACTCTATAGTTTTTACAGTGTCGTAGCATTATAAACTATTAGATTGCAAACACTATAGGCAAAGCATCCGTCGCTGTAAACATGCATACTTGTTTTGCATTTTCAGTCACTACCTTTTTATTTCATCCCAAAATATTGGCAATAAAAAAAATTTTCATTAACGGCCCATGATATCGTAACAGTATAGGTTGATGATTTATGTCAGTATGTTTTAGTATTTTTATTGTTATATCCACAAGCATCTATTTTACGTCTGTACAATGCATACAGACGTACAAACAACGATAGTTCTTTGCACACCTTTATTCTAAAAATAATCATCAGATATCTGTTATTTTTATACCGCTAGTCTCATAATTTGCTATTCGACGAAAAATATGTTGGATTACACCAACCACTGACGCAATCCGATCAAATATGAACCTGCTATTTGATGATTGAGCCAATTGTAATTGTCAGAGGTTGCCTACCTGTTTGTTAAATCATTGGATTTGGGGTTTTGAAAGAAGGCCTATTATTTGAATTTGTTTACATAATTTGTTTTAATATAATATTGTATTGCTTATTCTTGTTGCAATTTACACAACTAGATGTTAGACACACGAATACTACCAAAATTTGGATATTTGAACGAGTTGTAAAGTTTATTTGGTCCAAAGGTACAGCCTATAGGCCTGTATAAAAAAACTAATAAAGGGAAACCAATTAGTAATTATTACATATGTTATTGTATGCAATAGTTATTTGTGCAACTAGTGGTGAAAGTGGCACTTTGCTGCACACGAGAGCAATGTTTACGCACGAGCCGCAGGCGAGTGCGGAATGATCTCGAGTGCAGCAAAGGCCTTTTTCACTCGTGTTACACATTATATTTTTCCTACAGTCACTATACAGCATATAAATAATTAGTCTTTCAAACACTATACAACACGTTTTTAGGTTCAGCTGGCAACACAAATGGTGCTCTAGAGAAAGTAGTACCCGCGGTCCGTATCACTCCGCTATTTTTCCTCGGCAAGAAATGTGCTCCGCGTTTTGAGAATATAGTTCCGCATGTTTTTGTTATTTGAAGTGGTTTCCGCGCCTAAAAAAATGCTTTAAAGGTATTTTCTTGTTTATTAAGACCGTAGGAATGTTTTAAAAACGTTTAAAAGAGAAGTCCAGAAAGTTCAGAAATACCGAAACTATAAACACGAAATGACAGGTTAAATCGAAGTTATAATAGTCAATCAGCTGCTCATAGTATTATTATCTTTAAGTGTTGCCAACCTATTTCCAAGCGTACACGGATTACGTGCATAATAGAACCACGCTGTTTTGTGTTGTTTCGTTGGAATCCTGATGTGCGGCAAAGTATAAATCGTACGACAAAGTATAAACCGTACGGCAAAGTATAAATATGCAGCAATAAGCAGCTTTCTGTACTATAAACAGTACAAGGAAGCCAACTTTGTCGGGTGACAAAGTAGGAAAAATATATTTACTATATATAATTGATTTCATTTATTTTAATGCTGATTTTGTATTGTAAAACAATAATTGAGATAAAAAGTGTATTATTTTTACTAAATACAATTATGTATATAGGAGAAAGGTTTGAGCATTTTTGTGTTTATTTGCCAGCTAAAATAAAATACAAATAATAAAATATCTGAAAAAATGATTGTAGAAAAAAAAACATTTTGACAACACTTTTCAATAAAAAATAACGGAATTCCTCAAATAGTGGTAAAATAATGAGAAAGAGGCCGGGTTGTAATCACAACTGCAAACATTGTCCGATATAATATTAATGTAGAACACACAAGTGGGAGAGTTGAAACATTTGTCACTAAACAAATGTCTGTTCCTTTGTCCCCGAAAAATCTATGTAAATAAAAACTCAAATTTAATCTTCTACCTATTTGTTTGTTTTTTTGCGTACATATTAAGTTATGTTATATATATCTCATTGATATTTGTAATTTCTAGTAGAACAGTTTTCGTAACATTTGAAAATGGTTCCATAAAGATTCGTTTGACACAAATTATAACTGTTTTAGTGGTTTAATTCATTTTATGGATAAAATGCATCAATCAATTGTATTTTTTTTCAGACAGAATAAATTGTGAAGCTTGTATATTACTACCCTTTGGAAATGGTAAATGCATCAAATTAATGAATAATTTTTAATTCATAATTATTTAGATTTTTAGATCTTTACCTACATTATTATATCATTAAGATGGCGATGCTATTGGCACAGTTACACGCAAGAATAGAGAGAGATCTCTTGTGTGGCTTTGTTACTGACTATGATCAAATGTCTCATCATCAAGGACCATTTATAAAAAGCCCAATGATCAAAAGCTATTCTTATATACTAATGTTAAACGTCTAACGTAACCAGTTTAATATATTTATTTAGTATTAACTAAAATTATAAATTACTTGTGTTCAAACCTTCATATAACAATTAATCTGATTGGATATCACGTTGGTAGAATAACTCGAGAATTTTTAAACTGTTGAGATTTACCAAATAGTATTAAGAGCACCGTGTCTTTTAACATGGACTATGATTTCGTTCTTCCTATCATAAGTGTAAATCTTTTCAAACATGTTTGTGTTTTAAGCATCGATTAAATATTATTGTCGAAATATTATTCTAAATACTTAGCGGTTTCTAAAACGTTTCTGAAAAATTTCAAGATTATCTAATGCATAAATAAATAAAAAAATATTTCCTACAACTTAAATGCTTTCTCATTTATAAGATAACCTATTATTGGAGAGGGCAACGTTGCAAGTTTTCGCATACATGTCAGTGCAGAAGATAACCCCCTCTCTACCTTTTTATACGAATTAGGTCGTTAAATAAGAGAGTTTATTGGGGGGGGGGGGTGGTTAAGATTTTCTTCTTTTTTATTTTAACTTTATTTCCTTATATAGAAGGTGTCCCATAAGTAAACAGCCAAACTCCGGGAAACGGTTCTATGGGACAAAATGAAAATATAATTTAAGAATGCCATTTCTACCAAAAACACTTCGTTTACCAGATATCTACCAATTTGTCTTTTGTTATACACACATTTTATCTTTAAATTTTTCCAATTGATCTCAATGAAACTTTGTATATGTTTTCAGGTGGAAACAAATTAAGTTGATGCTAGATTGCCATTTTAGATTAAATCACTTCTTATGTTATAAATGGATCGTTGTATTTCAGAAATCTGTTATTCGATGTTATTGAGCTTGGTGTCATTTGATAGAACATTTTTAATGCTAAATATAAGCGTTCTTAACATTTCTTTATAACACTTGTCATGATTTGATATTTCATTAAAATACTAAAAATGTCCGCCATTTTGACATTTTAAATTGGACCAACTTAATATGGCTGTCTAGCATAGATTTCTTTTAATGAACAAATCATACCAAATTTCATAAAGATTGGTTGAAAACATTCTAAGAAAAAATATATTTATGAAAAACAAAACGGCGATTAGGTATCTGGTTATCGGAGCTTTTTGTAGAAAATGTGCCCTCGTAATCGGCCTACTTGATTTTTTTCTTCATTTTGACCTATAGAACTATCCATCGGACTTTGATTTTTTATAACTTGTTGGCTAGCTAAAATAGGTAAAATGAAAACACAGGGTGACATAAATGTCTCATGTCTACAATTCAACTCTATTGAGCTTTTAATCGATAATGCCTTAAGATCAAGCGTAAAAAGAACATTATTTTGTGTGGAACACAAGAACATTATATTGCATTTGAAACTTAAAATATCGGCTGATTTAGGGTTGCAGTTTTTAGTTCTAATAATTGAGATTGATTTCAAATGTCCATCCCCCTAGGAAGTTATGTGTTTATACGGCTTGAATACTACATGTTTACTGCTAATTTTACCATATTGAGAAAAAAGCATTACTTTTTGCCACATCCTGAGTGAAAATAAATACAATCTCTACTCTCATTTCATTTTTTTAATGAATTGAGTGCTATAACAAGTGACAAAGCCCAGGTACATGAATGGATTCAATTAAAAAGGTAAGTAAAAGTACTTCTGTAAAAAGAATATGAATGAATAACAAAAGAGGAACTATTGCTATAAGGTAATTGACTATGGATAGTCATCGTTACATTAAATATAAACCTAAGATATAAGTGAGGGGGGTGAGGGTACCAGCACCTCTTAAATATCTTTTATTTGTAAAATTTGTTACCTACTTCGTCGATATAATGTGTGGATGTAATAGATGGTTTGAGGTGGAGCTAAGTGAATGATGAGGAGTCAATGAATAAAGTAAGGGATATTTCAAATACTAAAATAAACTGCAGGACCAATTAATAAAAGTACTATGACCTATGCGTGCAGTTTAGAATACTATAAAATGCCTCTGACTGTTCTCGTCATAGAACTGGCAATCCCCTACTTACATGACCATCAGTACATCTCTCAGCTGCCCAACTATTACATACTAAGCCAGTGGCGTATACAAAGTAATCGTAATTGTAAACGTCTTTCCTTTCTAAAGGTGGTATGGTTGGGGATTTTCACGAATAATTTGTTATGACTGACTGTAGTAGGTAATATGTACATACGAGTATTTTTGCTATAATCTCATTTAGAACAAAAAAAGAAACCTGTATTTTGGATTACAGGAAAACATTCTAAAGATTTAAAAATACAGTTAGAGGGGAAAAAATAACAACCTTTCCATTTTGCAAATTCCAAATGAGTCGTTTTACTTTTACTAATTACTTATGTAATAACACCTCGTAATGTTTAAAATAATAAAAATGGAATGTTTTTAACATAGATTTACAACATTGAAAGACATTACTAAATTGAAAATAATTAAAGCTGTTAAAGCAGAAATGCTGCAAGAACCACGAGTTGTGGTTGGTGTTAATGGATTCAGAAAAATGGAGAAAACGTTTTAAAGATTGGCTTTTGTAAATACTGCATCCTAGTTTTTACATTATCTTGTTATATCTAGACAGTTTTATCAGCACACACCTTGTGGACCATCCGCAATTTGATGAGAGAAGAGCCCTGTTTACTTCAAAAAGAAAATGTTTTGTTATAGTATCTGGAATTAGCCCAAAAACTAAATACAGTTACTAGACTTTTGGACCTTAATATATTTGTCGATATTTTTATAAGCTTTACAATACTTTATACGATATTCAAAATGTCATAGGTTGCTTCTGAAAGTCAAAAGGGTCAATAAGACCTCGATTATTACAGCTCATGGATTACTTAACCATCCGTAAGGTAATAATCCAGCCACCATTGAACAAACATATTATACGGCGATTTCAACTTCAATGTTTTGTGTTTTACCATTCTAACTTAAGTGCTATATAAACGTAGTCAAAATTTTATATACATGTACTCGTATATTCAAAATCTGTTAATAATTATCTTGGAAGAGTGTTATGTTCAAAGCTATTGACAGTAGAAAATCGTACATTTACCTGAAGCGATCTTTTGAAAACCCTGATAGGGTTTTCATTTAAATAATGTATTTATTTGAAGGTTTATAAAAAAATATATGATCAAGTAACCAAGCAGTGTTTGGTGGTGATTCCATAGTTTAACGCCTTTCGCGTAATACTATAGTTAATATCAGCTAGAATGCACTACACATATATACTACTAAAACTTTATCATATGTAAAAATAAAATATAAAAGATATTACCTAAACACCAGTTTTTTTTTTTTTTTTTTTTTACATGCTCTTATTATCTGATAAAATTTGTATATGCTGCCTATTTGAAAGCTGTACAAGAAGAAAGTTACTCAAAACTGTATTTTAGTTCATTAAGTATACAAATAATTCGAAAGCATGCAGCATATATGTTATGTATTAAGCTTTGAATATTGATAAATATAGTTAAATCAATTTAAGTTGAAAATAAGCCTTAGTTTTTCACTGATTTATCAACATTAATTGAATTACACTTTTGAACAAGCAGATTGAAACTACTAAATGCATTGCAGTTAGAACAACAGTTTATTCCCCACTGAATTTGATTCACAAGTGCAGTCTTTATCGTTGCTTTCTAGTTCTGGCTGATTTGCGAATAACATCTGTTGAGGCATTGTCATCTTTTTGAGGATTATTATGAGCATTATTATCTTCAGTGGGTTGAAGGCTGATTTCTGTATTTTCCAGATCATTGTCCATGTTCTGTTGTTGCCAATGTAACCGTTGTTCAGTTTGACTTTGTAGTGCAAAGCACCAAGCTGAAAAATAACTTTTCCGAACTTCCAAGCGCCTAAGGCCTTGGTAACCTTTATCTGAGGCTATTTCGTTCTTCATGTTGATGAGCGCTTTCTCACAATCTTTTGTCCAGTTGAATGGTATATTCTTGATTAGTAACTGGCGTAGAGGGTAAGTTATGGCAGAAGCTGCTGGAATGAATTTCGAATAATAGGTTACAAGTCCTCCTTACAAATTTCCCACTTCCTCTACTGAATTTGGTCTATATAATTTGGAAGATATTTTAGACTTTTGCTGGAGACTTGGATATCTTGTTATTTTCAATAACATATCCTAAGTATGTGATGCTTTCTTGGAAGAATGTGCGTTTATTTCTGTTGAGGTCAAGATTGTTGGTTTGCAGTCGCTCCAGACAAGCTACAAGGTTGTTGAAACATTCATCCAAAGTTGAACCGTACACAATTATGTCGTCAAAGTAAGGGCTGACACCTGGGAGCTCTGTGGAACTTGTTCCATTACTTTTTGAAATATGCTGGGTTTAGTCTTGATTTCAAAAGACAATCAGTTGACTTTTTAAGTACATTTATGGGTTGAGTTTGAACACAGGCACTTTCTTCATCGACAACTATGTGTATGCTCTAAAGAGGTCGAGAGTACAGAAAAGCTTGGCATTTCTCAGTTTGTGGAGTGTTTCGTCGATCCTAGGAATCGGATAGTTCGAATCGTAGATTTGAGAATTGACTGTGACTTTATAGGCTGCTCATAGCCTAAGTGTTGCATCAGGCTTAGGCACTACAACTATGGGTGAACCCTAGTCGCATGATTCAATTTTAGTGATGATTTTGTCTTGTTCGAGTTTGTCAAGATCATGCCCCACTCTATCCCAGAGTGCATGGTAAAGGTCTAGGTTTAAAAAAATACTGGTTTAGATTGAAGTCTTAACTTTAGAGAGCAGGTGACTTCAGGAATATGTCATACTTCTGGTGAAGATATTTTTGTAAACTTTGACTATACTGCAGTAACTAGTTTGTCTGTGTCATTGGAAACTAAGTTTACATAAGTATCTTTTGGTGTCTGGGTGTCAAGATCACTCAAGTGAACTCCAAGTTGTCTCATCCAAGTTCTACCTAGTAGAAGGCTATACATGTCAGGAACTACAAACAACTGCTGTATTAATTGAATCAAATTTTTGAAGGAACAGATTACATAAATTACTAAATGCATAGCAGTTAGAACATGAAGATACAACAATATACATACAGTTGTACGTGTACATAAACAGCAATTAGTTACTGGATTGTCAAAAGGTATTTAAAACATCATATTACTAATAACAGTGCGTAGCGCAACGTAAGTTACAACTAAAATAACACTGTAAACATGTTTGCATTTCAATGAAACTACTTAAAAAAAACAGTACCTGTCCAAGGATGGTGAAGCCGTGCCTTGCCGCGATGTCGTCAGCTGCTTGCTGGCCGCCCTCGATGTGAACTGCCCATTGTGAAGAGTACTGCAGAGCCGATACCGTCACAATGTACAGTAGGCCAACCAGTAGCACCTGAGGTGTCATGTCTGTCTACCTAGTCCTCCTCATCCTGGCCCGGCACACCACCTTACACTGACACTCCGACCACTGTAACAGACACACAGTCATGTAGTACTGCAGAGCCGATACCGTCACAATGTACAGTAGGCCAACCAGTAGCACCTGAGGTGTCATGTCTGTCTACCTAGTCCTCCTCATCCTGGCCCGGCACACCACCTTACACTGACACTCCGACCACTGCAACAGACACACAGTCATGTAGTACTGCAGAGCCGATACCGTCACAATGTACAGTAGGCCAACCAGTAGCACCTGAGGTGTCATGTCTGTCTACCTAGTCCTCCTCATCCTGGCCCGGCACACCACCTTACACTGACACTCCGACCACTGTAACAGACACAAAGTCATATAGTACTGCAGAGCCGATACCGTCACAATGTACAGTAGGCCAACCAGTAGCACCTGAGGTGTCATGCCTGTCTACCTAGTCCTCCTCATCCTGGCCCGGCACACCACCTTACACTGACACTCCGACCACTGTAACAGACACAAAGTCATATAGTACTGCAGAGCCGATACCGTCACAATGTACAGTAGGCCAACCAGTAGCACCTGAGGTGTCATGTCTGTCTACCTAGTCCTCCTCATCCTGGCCCGGCACACCACCTTACACTGACACTCCGACCACTGTAACAGACACACAGTCATGTAGTACTGCAGAGCCGATACCGTCACAATGTACAGTAGGCCAACCAGTAGCACCTGAGGTGTCATGTCTGTCTACCTAGTCCTCCTCATCCTGGCCCGGCACACCACCTTACACTGACACTCCGACCACTGTAACAGACACAAAGTCATATAGTACTGCAGAGCCGATACCGTCAAAATGTACAGTAGGCCAACCAGTAGCACCTGAGGTGTCATGTCTGTCTACCTAGTCCTCCTCATCCTGGCCCGGCACACCACCTTACACTGACACTCCGACCACTGTAACAGACACAAAGTCATATAGTACTGCAGAGCCGATACCGTCAAAATGTACAGTAGGCCAACCAGTAGCACCTGAGGTGTCATGCCTGTCTACCTAGTCCTCCTCATCCTGGCCCGGCACACCACCTTACACTGACACTCCGACCACTGTAACAGACACACAGTCATGTAGTACTGCAGAGCCGATACCGTCACAATGTACAGTAGGCCAACTAGTAGCACCTGAGGTGTCATGCCTGTCTACCTAGTCCTCCTCATCCTGGCCCGGCACACCACCTTACACTGACACTCCGACCACTGTAACAGACACACAGTCATGTAGTACTGCAGAGCCGATACCGTCACAATGTACAGTAGGCAAACTAGTAGTAGTAGTAGTAGTAGTAGTAGTAGTAGCGCCGAGTACCCATCATATCCGTGTAAACCTGTTGGTCAATATTAGGCTGATAAGTTTTAAATCTTAGTAAAGCAGATCAACCATGTGGTTTTAAAATGATATTGAATATGTACAAAACTATTGGATTGAGATTTGCTACATTTATCATACAAGATATGTCAACTTCACTCTACAGTATGTGTATGACGTGGAAGAGAGTTGATGCTTTTCGGACTCATCGGCTGTGCATGATGCATTGATATACATTTTTCTCTCTGTACCTTGGTTCTTTCTAAAACAAAATTTATCTCTGCTACATGTTTGTTTAAATATTTATATTAGGTTCTTCTAAGTATTAATAGTATATGTAGCTTTTAACCCCTATCCTCTAGTACGAGCAATGTCTGTTTGTCTATCTTTCTGACATGGATTTTCAAGATAAGATCGAGACACATAATATAAAGACCACTGACAAACCTTAAACCGATTCCAAAAAACGTATACATTTATAAATCATAAAATATAGCTTGATTCAAACTACATCTCCTACTTCAAAGTCTTAACCTACGTTAATAGTTTTTTTTATAACTTTTGCATCGTTAAATTAACTCGTTCAACCACAGAAAATAACATATTCCTTATACCCATAAAAAAAAACCTGCGAAAAAGCACATAAACTAATGTATACTGTATATATATATAAACATACCCTGTTAAATATCGGTTGTACAGGGAGCTAACTTCGTACGTTTATGGCACAATAATGTCACACTGTAGTTAATCCGAGTGAGCTTCCCCTTTATCACCTGCTAATATTATCTTATCATTAAACAGCCTGCGTGTTTCGTCGTGATAACGGCGAGATGACAGACCCTGCAACGTCATCAAAGTACCGTAGTAACATTGCTTGCCACTTCATTGTGTTATCTTATGACGTCAGAGCCAAGAATATCATCCCTAAATTGTATCATGACGTCATCATTTTACACCTGCCACGTTGGCATTGGGTCATCATTTTCAATCCAAACTATGTTCAATGCAAACCTATTATTAATAAACTATGTCACATAATAAAAAAAAATCATATGTCTAGACTAACTTTGTGTCAAGTTATGATAACATAAAAAACAAACATGATTTCACACAAAAAATTAGTTCAATATTTTGTTTATTTTTACCCTCTTAAAAGTCAACGTAGTGTTAACAAACCAAATGTACCCTGTGGAAGCATCTTATTCCAAGTGTAAATTGGCTCACAATCACATGCTATCAAATGTATTTAGTGACACCTGTAATTCAACATACGGAGACACCATCAAAGCTGTACATAGCTCCGCACTGACAATATGTGCCCTGTTCAACGGTACACAGCATAATTGTTCAACTTTTTTTTATCTTACGACGTCATAATAAATTACTGACGACATGGAAGTTTTACATGGATCCAACCTTTATTCTGAATAAACGTTACCTAAGTAGGCCTAATACATAGTTTCAAACCTTTATTCAGTAACGTTACCTGAATTATACATAGTTTCAATCTTATTTCGCTTTGTCCTGTAATGTCATAATTTGTAGTTTGTTTGTATTTATTTTGCACTCACGTCATGCAATCCCTTCTAAAGTTCCATCATGACGTCACTATTAAGGATAATTTGTAAGGTTCAAGGTCAGTGCCACCTCAATTACGACTAACACTAATAGGATAATGATTACGTCATTGTTGACCTTCAAGCGTTATTTGCCTTCTGTTATTTCCAAACATGACTAATATTCAAATGACAGACTGTTGAAATTATGGTTGGTATAGTGGAAACTGTTTAAGTCTCAAATATGCATTATTTCCAAAGAAAAACTATTATCACATTTCTTTGCTATGTGTCTGCGGAAAATTTAAGAAATTTGTTGATGTTTATCGAAACTGACATGTAGGCCTACTGAGGTCTTTTTTATTTATTTGTTGAAAGAGTAAGCCAAACGAGTTTGTCCTCCCTGAATCAAAGGTCATGAAGAAGGTAAATAATTTCACGTATGATATGTGTAATTAATTAGTTGTTTATAATTTGTAGAAAGGTATTGCTAAAAAAAACTCTTTACTTTTAAAACATAGAATTATATTGTTTTGTTATTTATTACCCAAAAACTGATGAATTAGGTTGATATTAAAATGAAAAGTCAGCATACATAGAAATTCGAATCCCTAGTTGATCTTGATTGCTAGGTCAGACATGTCAATAGTAATGACCTGACCGCACATTGAGATGAATGCTTGCAGGCCATTGATAGACGTATTTGTATGGAAATCGATATATAAATAAAAAAACCAATATAAACTTAGACTGTCTATAAAACCGTTTTTTTTTTTAAAGATTTAAAGGATGTTATTCCTTTTTACAGTATTTTTTTTTCAAAAAAATATCACTCGCAAACTTCAATAACTGGAGGGATTTTTTTCCTTTTGTTATAAATCCAAGCTTAAATTTTGAATTTTAACCAGATCAATTAAGGAAATATAGCTTGAAGCTTTTTATGATAAACACAGCTCACACGTTAGGACAAATATACGCCAAAATATCTAGTTTATATTTTGCTTTACTTTGAAATAAAAAAATTAAAAGCCCCCTAATAAAAAAAATCTGTAGGATTTACCATGTTTGCTTTAATAATTTATTTTAATCAGACAAACCGATGGACGCAATAAATCACAGAAAAAAATTGATACATTGCTTTGATTAGAAATTGCAATTGAGATTTTTGTGTGAATGAATACAATTTCTCTCAAAGGTTTTGAAACTTTGAAATCGAATTCAAAGTCATGTTGCTCCCATGATATTCAATAGACTAGACTATGTAATACATACTAATATTATATCGGCAAACTGGGTACACATTATAGATTCATAGAATATACACGATACCATACAACGATATTTCATACTGTATTTTATCATGAAATATAACATTCTCCATCGTCAACTACTGTGCACAGAAATTTACTCCACTAAGTTTTGACAAGTAGAACGCTGGCTATGTGTAAATGAGTAATATGGTATTAGAGAAATCGTTTGAATAACGCAAAACAATGAAAAAAAAAACACGAACCACTGAAGAGTACTTCGAATGTAGGTTTATGAACTCTCTGCGTTCCCAATATCCAAAACCAAAACCCATTGCCCCCATTTATCGAAAATCTGAGTAGCTGAATGGTTTATACGCTCGTATCCGGTAGGTCAATATTCGATCTAATGAATGTCAAATTTGGACTTAGATATGAAATATGTTCTGGTTTTTTATAAGTGGTTTTATCTAATGAAATGTCAATGTTAAATGAAAATAAAGGGATGTAGACTGATCGGTAGATAAAAAGCAAAACAAAATTATAATACCAAATACGTTAAATATGCCTAGTTAAAAGTTGACATGATTGTGGTTAAAATCCATCATTATACCGAGAGTCTGGTGAGCCACATTTGACATTAACATAGGTAAAAGTATGAGCCATCTCAGGGTCACGGAGAGTCAGTTTCACATTTCACGACAACGTTGAACTTTCAACTCTCTGAGGAATCTGCATAACGGTCGTTTCGCACGAAATACATAACTCACCAGAGTAATCAATGATTTAGATGTTGGATGGTTCCTTGCGTATGGCTACGTCATATTTGTTACGAAATATTGAAATGCAATGCCGACTTTATCCATAACAAGTAGAGCTCTCATCACAATGTAAAATAACAAGCCTGTTATGATGGTTGTTCGAGTAAGATTACTATTAAGTTCACTTATGTCAAATACATGTGCTCTTATTCAGAGTAAGCTTTGCAGTGATTGCGTTGTTTTTTGTTTCAT